TGCCCATCTCGTGTGACACACACCCCTGTTACCAGGGTACGTGTAACCCCGTTACATAGGAGACAACAAAGCCGATGGTGACGGGTGTCTTCACAGACAAAAAACCGTCGGGTGTTTAGACGCTGCCCGGCAGCCCGGAGTTCTCCCTCCTCTTTTTCAGCATAGCTGAGATCTATCGGCTCAAGTCCGCTCGACGATCTTCTAGAGTGTGCATTTCAACCAAGTGATACCTAAGCAAGCTGTAGATGTTTCCACCACGAGACTGTTAAATAGGAGTGGACTATCAAATTAAGACCATACTTCTACAAAATAACATTTCTACACCATATCGTACCGGTACAGTACCAGTAAGACACTACCAGCATTTGGCATTTTTAATTTTCTCCTCTTGATACTCGTGTTCCCAAGCGCAGCGAACGATCAGCAAATTACCACACACATAAAGCGATGGGTCGGCGGAAGAAGTCAACTAAAAAAATTCAGACGCGCAAGAAGCAAATAGTTTCGACCGTGTTCAAGTGCCCCTTTTGCTCACATGAAGATGCCGTTGAATGCAAAATGTACGTCACCAGCCATTGATTTAGTCCAAATTGCCATACTTCGATGTAACGTTTCTGGTCATTGGATACCACACAGGGACCGTGAACGCAATATTGGTCATTTGTCCTGTCGTGTGTGCACCGAGAGTTTTCAGACGCCTATACACTGTGAGCGATATCCATAGCTACACTACTGAATGAAGGCTCTCTGAACATTGTGTGGTGACAGATTTGAGTGCGCCAATTGACGTGTATACGGACTGGATTGATGAGTGTGAGGCGCTAAATACATAGATATGAAGGTGCAGCAGCCTTCGCTTTGGACAAACCGGCAAATTCGATTGTGATTGGAACACGACCAGCAGATATGAGCGAAGCTGAAAGTGCTGCAGCAAATAGCTATCATTGTGAATAGTGTTCGGATACGAAGTTGTGGTACCTTACAAGCTTTAGTGATGCAAATTAATAATAGACAAGTCAGGCTGACACCACTCATTTTGCCATTCGTGGTCGTATTTCGCTTATGAGAGTAATAAAGGTGGCGCAATGCTGGACTTGAGCTAGTGTGTAGCTTTGTCTCTATCAGCTTTATCTCTCGACGATGTGCTTGCTGATAATGCCATTGCACTTCAGATAAAAGTCTTTTAAAATTGGAGTACGTCGGAATCTAGCAACCTATCAGCAATACCAAACTCTTGACTAGCTCTATCACATTTTACCATAGCTTTGTCATGTGTTTCGTCCCTTCAAGCTTTTTTTAATCTAATTAACGCTTCCAAATTTTGCCTTGCGTACTCTTTGGGACTCCTATATGTTTTGAAACAAGCGCTTTAAATTGTTGTAGTGCTCTTGCTAAAGCCATGCGTCTTGCTTCAGCAATTGAAGTCCGAAAGAAGTGAAATTGAGTGGTGAGCTCTAGTGATGTTACTTTTATCCTTGCTATCACCATCCCACACTAATGTTCGTGCCAAACAGGCAAACATTTAAAGACAAATATACTGATAGAAGGCCAATCTTAATCGATAGCATCTTCCACCAAAATTTATCGCTAGCTGCCATATATATTGAAATATTGTAATAAATGAGCTCCTTCTCCTTCAAATTGTACCAGCAATAAGTCTGCGTCATTCAAAAGAAAGCAAATTCCTCAAAATATGTTCTAGCCATTTAACTAGGATCCGCTGGCGCATCGCAATTGAGTAAGCATCAACTGATTCATAGCCGCAATGAACGCTCTACCGCTTCAGGCATTTCTAATCTTTATCATTGCTTGATACTCTTTTGCGAATTTAGTGCGCCAACATTTATTTTTGACTCAGAAAATGGAAACGCTGGTAATCTTATCAAGCGATTGTAAAGTCTTTTAGCCACGAAAGATCTCACAATATATTATTTTTGATTTGTCAGGTGCTGACGACGTCTTAGTGTTGCCACGGCGCAAAACTCATAGTCTTCACTTTGTGCGCGTCTATATTTAAAAGTGGAAGTCCGCAGTACGACACAACATCAATTGATCTGTTGAAAAGCAGTTTCGAGTTGGCTCCGTTACTTTTAGTCAAAGTTGGGTCATCATCAAATTGCAGCTTCCACTGCAAATCCGTCATATAACCAAACAACCAAGCTGGAATCAGCGACGACGCCAGCACTTTGGCAACACATATTGACATCGTCATCATGAAAGCTGATAATTCTTACCTATCGTGTCGTACAGCCTTCCTGAATTATATCTTGAACACCTTAGCCTACCGTTGAAATTCGGAAAACCATTAAATTTTACTCATTGCTAGCTTCGGTCTCAATCTTCAAGCTTACAAATGGACCAATTTTTCATACAAAGAAAAATTGAATAAAAATTAAATGTTGCGTTGTCACCTTGGTGAACCGCTGAAATGATAATGGACATGAGTGACCAGGTTTTGCTCCGTAGTGGTCTGAGTGGGTTCGCCATTACTGATATAGTAGCTAAGTTATGTGTAGCAAGCATCTTGCTCAAAAAGATCGAAGCGTGTTACAGTTGTACGTGTAAAATGTACGTCTCATACGGTCATTTTTGATACCCATACCTGAGCGATATACTTATTCTGCGATGCGTCCAAAATGAGATCTGACGTATACACCAAGACTTATTTTACACAATCATCAGAGATTGCAAATATATTGAGGCATAAGGTAGCTAGTGATAAAACTACCTTGCTGGAATAGGAGAAAAATCTTAATTTTTTGTCCCTGTATGCATAAGTTAGACGCTAAAATGCTGGCGACAAGAACAAGTTGCAAAGAAGTCTTGCCTCTGTCACAAATTTGCGACATTTGTATATATATTTTTTATTTAGTCATTCTGACTGCATCCTTCGAAAGCACAGAATTTTTTGGCTGTCTGGGGCCGCAAATTCATAAGGTGCGTGTTATAAACGGTCATACATCCTTTCGTTTAATCGAGCAATAATGGTAACGTACATTCTGACTGTGCACCATAAACGCTTTACTGTAGGAGCTGAAAACTATCCTGTTTGATCTCAAGACGGTCTGGATCATTTAGAAACCGCCCCAGGCTTCCTATCAAAGCACAAATGCAAACTTTTCTTTTCTTGTGTTCTGATAATTTGCGACTCGGACAGCATTGATAAATCTCAAGTATCCGGATCCGCCCAGCAGAATATCAATGCAGAAAGTTCACCAATATTTTTTTGATCACGTTCTGCTTAAGTATATTGCACGGAACAGGTTGCATATTTGTCAAGCGACCAAATCATATCGTATCTTACTATAGGAGCGTCTCGACATGTTATAAGTGCTTCTGGCGCGACCTGTAAGCCTTTTCAACCACTGCAATCCCTAAACAAGCAGCTAATCCTGTTCAACAGCGTCTTCGGTCGTGGATGAAACACACACCACTTCAAAAACAGTTCGAAGCTCATTTTATCTCCATCTTCAAGGTCTACGAAGTCGAATGCTTCGTACGCTACTGCCATTGCGTCCAATTCGGACATCGTATCACGATTCTCTATTATTCCAAGCCGATGAAGACCGTTGCAGCATGTGCTAATCACAAGCGCAAGTTCTGCCTCCACAATGTCGTCCTCCGTGTCCAGATCGACAAGCTGAAAGACAAAGCGCGCCTTTTCTGTAAGCGCACCTTGAGCCAAGAGTGTCATCGTAATTAAAATTGTCATTAGGTCGACGCAAGGGGCATCTGTATGTTTCTTCCTGGTAGAGACACAGCGGAATCTATCAAAAAGAAAATTTACTTGATCACCTAACTCCGAGGACTCAAGGATGCACTGCAATTCGCGCCGCGTAAGTGCCATGCCCTCTTCGACACCTTTTACATTCACCCACGTATGGTACACGTGTCGCATTCGCTCAAGCCGTGAAAGCGTTAGTAGCCCATTTAGTGCGCGTGCGTGGTTTACCGCATCCATGCGTCGTATAAAGAGTGATGGTCAAAGTTGAAACACAGTGTTGACGCATTTTTATCAAAAAAATGTTAACGCCAGTACAGTAGTTATCGTTCTTTTTTAACAGCGTATGAATGTACAGCAACCAAAACATCTGTCCGAAGCCTCAAAATAAGGCGGTGATTTTTCAAAACAGCCATGTCTTTGAAGTACTCTGGGTAACTGTATCTAGTTTGTTAGACAGTGATGTCTGCCTCTTATCTGGTTGTTGATCTATTCGGCAAAATCAAAAAGCTCTTCACAACCCAAAACCTTCCATCTTAATAACATACCGCCTCTTGATGCATTCCTCGTCCTCTCCCCACGGCAGGGGCTCGTTGCGCCGCTTCTTTTCGCGTCGACATCGTCGAGCCCTGACTCAGGTACCCCATGGTGTATCTAGTCATGTAGATCCGGCGTATGGAGCCTCCGCACAGCAATCGCTGACTGCACGAACACGGCTTCTGGACTCTTGGAGTCTTCCTGAGCTCTTTGCGTTGCGAGAACTTGTGCAACTTGCTGTGAACAATAATAATGCTGAAACGGTCGGAGGACATCATTCTTTAATTTCGCAACGTACTAATTACAGCGATGAAGTGACGCGATCCGATGCATGCAGCTCCGCTAGCTCCAGCGCGACTACTACGTCTGTGACGCCACCCTCCATCACTAGTTTTGAGGATCTTAAGCGCCAGCAGCAACTTCAGACACAAGTTAACTCAATTTTGATACGCAACAAGCAGTTTCACTACAGTCGGTCAGTTGATACTAGACTGCGGCTTGATTCGAGACGACAGTTTGTGCGGCTCTTTCCATTGCTACGGCGCACATCCAGAGGAGCGCAACGTGCATTGTTCCGTGCTTTTGATGCTAATGATACGGGAAAAGTTGAGTTTGAAGAGCTTTGCGAAATGCTAGCCAAGATCAGACAGGCTCGGAATTTGTCGGTGCAAAAGATGGCAGAGCTGGCTTTCAGTTGGTACCAAGCAGATAAGACTGAGGCTTTTCTGACTCACTTAGATGTCAAATTGCTGGCGGTAACAGCTTTAGAGCTGGAGGGTGGCAGCAAAGTTCAGGAAGAGCCGGGGCTTGATTTAGTGGCATCGTTAATGAAACTTGTACTGGGGAACGATCAGATAAGAGTGACTATAGAAAAGTTTTGCCAGGATATGGACTGTAAACTGGGTGCTCACGTATTGCATGTGCTGTTTAAACCGTTTGGTGTAGTAAATGCACTGCTAGACGAGGAGACGATTGTAGAAGAAGTGGAAAATACAAGATGGAAAGCTGGAGATACGGCGTACGTCGTGTCAAGTAGCTGGTGGTGTAAGTGGCGGAAGTATGTGCACCCTGATCACTGTGAACATGTCTCGACGATGAGTCAGCCATTTCGAAGCAACAGTGACCTACGTGGACAGGAAACAGGGGAACAACAGGTTCACGAGCAAATCAAGACAGCACGAAAGCAGTCATTGCATATTTCCGAACGCCGAACTCGTCCTGGACCCATCGATAATCACGACATATGTGCAAGCGAACGACTAGGAACACTTCGGCCTTGGCTTGAAGAAAGTAAAGATTTTGTTCTTGTGTCTTCTATTGTGTGGAAGCGACTTGTGCAAATTTACGGCGGTGGCCCCGAGTTCCCACGACATATCATAGAGGTCTTTTCATCTGATGAAGAAAAAATGCTCTCATGGAAAGAAGACGAAAGTGACAGGAATGCTGGTAAAGTAGCAGTCGTTTCGACAAGAGGAGGTCAACTTCGACAATATATTCGTGTAGAACTGTATCCTGTTGCATTGCAAACTCGTTTGGCTCGGCATGACTCACGGCACGTTTACCTTGTGTACTCACGCCGATTTTTGTTGCCCCGTTCCTCAACTTTAAAAGAGATTGTGCATCGTATGGGCATCTTTCCTGGTATAAACGCAAAAGAGGTCACGCTTTGGTTACGTCGTCGTCGACTTCAATCGTGGACGCGTCTTGAATGCGATCTCGACGCCTCATCTGCTAGTCTCGAAGGGCTGCAAATAACTAGTGCGCACGAATTTCTTGTGGATTTTCGAGCTATAGATATTGTTGAGGATCCACAGAGCGTTGCACAACAGCGTCGACGAATCAGCCTTGCCAGTATCTTTCCGAGAAGGCCGTTTACTGTGGCAATGTTGCAACCTGTAGGCAACGATTTTGTCTGCTGTCCACGATCCAGTCTCATTACGTTTGCGAGAACAGGAGATTGGAAGTCTTTGCGCGAGAGTACAGCTGCTGAACAGGAGGCAGCTACCAGTCTATCGGCGATTTCTGCACATGCTGGCTCTAAGAGAGTCCTAATTAATCTTGCCAAACACATGGACGCATCTCGATATCTTCGGCAACGACTAGTTCAGCATAACGGTCTGCGAGCAACTGGGCTTGTTAACTTGGGCAACACCTGCTTCATGAATAGTGCGCTTCAGTGCTTTGTCCACTCTCCAGTGCTTCGGGAGTACTTTTTGTCCCGTCGATTCGAAGCCGAAATTAACAAGAAGAATATTCTTGGTAGTCGCGGTGCTGTGACTGCAGCATACGCTCAACTTCAGGATTCTCTTTGGCGGGAGCAAAATCAAGGCTACTTAGTCCCCAGTCGATTTCGAGACGAGTTTACGCGTGCCCGTCACCACTTTGAAGAAACACGTCAATATGACGCTCACGAATTTATGGTCGCTCTGCTTGATTGTCTGCATGAGGACCTTAATCAAGGCTGTCGAGCAGTGACAGCTAGTGTTGAGGATAATATACAAGAGAAAAGCTCGAGATGCTTAGGCTTTGGTCATTTTACTGGTGGAGACGAAGTGAAAAACAACGAAAATCAGCAACATTTCGCCGAAGCGAAGCGGTCTATACTCGACGAAAATCAAGGTGATGCAGCGTGGCGGGAGTACACAAGGGTAAACTCTTCTGTGGTAGTGGATCTTTTTCATGGACAGATGAGAAGTGAGACTGTGTGCGGTAGCTGTGGTGAGCGCAAGTGTACATTTGATCCAAATCTCTTTTTTAGCTTGCCTATTCCAGAATCAACTTTTGTGCGAGTTGAAGTGAGTGTGTTGTTGCAAGCACGAACACTACCAGGTGGTGATAGTGATAAACATGATAGAGACAAGTCTTTACAACCCGTTCAGCGAGGATTTTGGCTTCGTCGAGGTAGTAAGGTGGAAGTCTTGTGTGATCGCATTGCAGCTGCGCATGGTCATGATAGATTCTTGCTTGTGGAGTTACGTCGAAATCGAATCAAACGAATAATTGAAGGAGATGAAGTCGTTGACCAGCTAGCAATGCTTGTACCTGGTTCGCTTGCTGCATACGAGCGTGCTTGGACGCTTGCAGAAATTCCTATTATTCCAGATGCAGTCATCAAATATTTTAGCAACATTTTTGGTGTACTTGATGATTCAAATTTAAATGCTGGTAGGACTCCAAGCTTCTCCGATCTTCGAGTGGGATCACGTGTTGGTGCAAGGGACAACCACAATGCTTGGCATTTGGGATCGGTCATTGAAGTCAGTGGAAGCAACAAAGATGGCGCAGCTCACAAGGAAGGCTTGCGTGTATGCGTTCACTTCGATGCTCTCAGTAGAAAATGGAACAAGTGGTTTACGGCGCACGATTGGAAAACTAAACGACTACAGCTGCTGTCAAATTTGTCGACAAAATCGCCTGAGGTTTTTGAGGTACAAGTTGTCCATCGCCTTGCTTTTGTATCATCATCAGCTTTGTCGTCAGAAGCTGGGCAAACCAGTAGTGGGGATCAATCATTTAATAATTATCCAACGAGCTCGCAGAAACTTAACTCGCAACATGCACTTGAACGATGGTCGTTAGATGTGTTTGGGATGCCACTGTTTGTCACGATTGCATCTAATAAAACTGCCAACGATATGCACCACGCACTTTTGCTGCAGACCGCTCGCTTCTGGCGAAAGTATAATAGTAATCATGATTTTGCTGGCAGCAAGCATGACAAAGCCAGCGAGCTTACGAAATTACCGTATGAAGTCCGCGTCGTGAATTTGGATGATCTTACAAGCGAGCGTGGCGAGCCCTTACCCATGGATTCAAGCGAGCTGCTCCAACACTTTTCTCCTCGGAGTGTTTTGGCGCTGGATTGGGCCGATTGCCGCGATTACTTGAAAAGCGAGATTCGAGGCCCCGAAGACGTACCATCTGAAGTAGCAGAGGCTGCTGAAACAGACTTCGACTTGCGTTCTGATCTAGAGGCCGCTGTGCGATCAGAAGAATTAAAAGAAGAGTCAAAAGACACAACTTTACAGGACGATGACGATAGTCCACCCGTCTACGCTGTCCCCTTGACCAAGTGTATGGACGCTTTAATGCGTGAAGAGGCTATTTCGCTAGAGGATCATTGGATTTGCGAGCGCTGCGGAGTTCCTCGCGAAGGTACTCGATCATGTGCAATATGGCGGCTTCCAGACTTGGTCATAGTGCAGCTTAAGCGCTTTCAGTATCTTGAAAATCAGTACGATCAAAAGGTTCGCGCACTTGTCGATTTTCCACTTCAGGGTCTGGACTTTTCAAAGTGGATGGGGCATCAAAATGAAGGGTCATCAGTGTACGACCTCTATGCGGTGGCTAATCATGTTGGTGGACTCACGCGAGGGCATTACACTGCGTATTGCCGATACGATAGGGATTTCCCTGAGAGCTCAGCGCTTTTTCAAGTGAACGAAGACAGCAGTGATGTTCAGTGTTCTGAGCTCTGGTTTCGCTTTGACGATGAAAAAGTGTCTGAGATCGCCTCGGGTGATGTTGTCACGGATGCTGCCTACGTTTTATTTTATAAGCGGCGGAGATTATCCCCCCACAATGTTGTTCGATATGCGCTGTAAATAGTAAAAGAACAAGCGATAATATCTTAGAATTTTTATCTTTCCTTTGAAGCCTTGTACACAGAGCTTGGAACAAACACACCTCGTTCTGATATTTTAAGAGCATGCCTCAGGCCTGGAAACACGTTGACTACTGATAGATCGAGTGAGGACAAAGCGTCTATGACCAACAGGCTTCATTTGGTGAGGAACATAGCAAGGGTGACTGACTCACCGTGATAATTCTCGACATCCCAAGGTTTCACGACTTTGCAGTTTTTTTTCGATTCAAGCATTTGAAGACTGAAACATCATTGACATTAACGAGTTGAGCGCGTTAGATTGCACGCTATTCCAATTCTCCGTGGCGGAAAGAAGGTAAGTCTTGTTTCCTTGGATCATAGGTTCTTTTCGTCATCTTATGAATGGCAAATGACAAGTCTGGACGCGTGCAACGCGAAATCCACAACAAACTCCCCGATAGTGACCTGAAGTTCTTTGAATCGTGCAATTTAGGGCTAGATTTGTCATATTAATGTCCAGAATCAATCGAAATTCTTGTCATTTTTGCGTCATTCCGTATTGGTTTAAAAGGTCACCAACAAGGTTCTCATGATCAAAAAAAATAATCTTCTTCGACTTTGAGGATTCTCATTCAAGAACTCGTTAACTTCTCCCAAGTCCTTGATTTGTAAGCTTTTCAGTGAATCAAACAGCTCGTTCACTAAGTCGTCATTGATCCCAGTGACCAATAAATCATCCACATATATTCCAACGAGTAATATTCCACGATCATCCTTCCTATAG